TGTTTGCTTTCTCATGCAGGACGAGGCTGAAGCTCTGGCAGTGTACACTGCGATCAATAATAATAATGATAATAATTATAATAATAATATAGACTGATTAATAATATTATTGATAATAATTATAATAATAATATAGACTGATTAATAATATTAATAATACACTGAGGTATTGGCCAACTGTACTTTTAAAGAATTTTGCACAGATTGTGTCAGTGTGAATATTTAATGTTTTGTTATTAATGAGCCTGACTGCTTCCTGTAGCCACAGTTTGGTGGGCGTGGCCCCTGATTAGGGCTGGGGCCTTGAACTTTTTTCGAAGTTCAGTCAGAGATCAATAAAGTTATTGGTTCCCAATGTTTCTCCTGACTCAGTGAGAGCAGCTTTATTATATAAAATATAAACGTTGAGGCCCCTGTAGTGTCTTATAATGTTACACCTGTAGGTGGCGCTGCAGCAACGGCGTAGATAAGGAAGGTGTAACAGCTCGAAACTGTTAGAAATCTCAGTGAGGTTTGGTGTGAAGCTTTATTTCTTTTAGATGCTGGCTGTTCTGTAACCACCAATAAGGGCTCAGATTGTTTGCACTGTATTTCCAGGTGTTGTGGGCGGAGCCAGCCAGGTGAGGCTCCATAGCTCAGGCGTTAGAGCATTGGTCTTGTAAACCAAGGGTCCTGAGTTCAAATCTCACTGGGGCCTTCTGCAGTTTCAGGAAATAAGTATTATTACAGACTCTCACACATCAACTAAATGATCCTGACAGAGCACATGATGATATTTGACCTGTAGGTGGTGCTGCAGCAGATTAATGATTAACGGGCTTTGTGGACTTCAAGCTTGTTATGGTCTGACAGGATTTCTCTGAAACAGCACCCTGGTTTTCTCTGAGGTCAGTTTGACAGAGTCCAGCTCTGTGTCGTTCTCATTTCTTTAAATTTTGGAGTGTTTGTGGAACTGTTTTTATCCCTCGCAGTCCGGCTGCCATGAATCTGTCAGTTAACATCCACAATAATGGAAAGTGAAGAGCCAGAGGATTTTCTTTGCTCACAAGTGCCACGATCCTATTAATGAACAATCAAAAGGAAAAGAGTTATTTTCCTGTGAGGAGAGAACTGGACCTCCTCGTGCAGGGTGGAGATCTCTGGTATCAGTTTAACAACCCTGGAAACAGACTGCGGTTCCATGAATCATCTCACTGCTCCATGCTACAGGGATTAGAACAAATCTGCTTGTCCCTTATTCTTTTGCTCATGCTGCCCTCTACTGGTGAACTGAGTAAATGCCATTACATTGAAATAAAATGAAACTTTAACACAATGAAAGGATGTATGGACTGAACTCATACAGCATCTTTCTACTCTTTCAACCACTCAATGTACACTACACGCCACACTCACCTATCTGCACACATTCATACTCTGATGTACGCTGCAGCTGCTCATCAGAAACTGAGTATTCAAACCAGCAACCTTCTGATCATTCGCTCTACCTGTGAGCTCACAGCCACCCAACAATACAATCAGTCAACTAGCAGCTCAAAAATATCATATTAAAGTCACAACATTTCAAAAATCTTCAAGGAAGTTTGGTGCAGAGGTTTTGTTGTTAATGAGACATTTATATGTTTTTACACACTTTAATTAATTAAAAGTGAACTTCTTTTTCTTCTTTAGGACTACTTTCTCTCTACAGGAGGTAAAAGTACTCTAAGAGTATTTTTTACATTAATTCATCAGTTAGTTTTAGGATTTAAGTTCAGCCATGAAGAACAAGTGTTTGTATTCAGTTAGAAAAGTACTTTTAAACAGGAAGTAAAAGTACTATTTGTATGTATTTAACATCTAATTTTAAGAAATATTCTGTGATTTCTTGCAGAAAACGGTCAGTAACTCACGCTCAGCTGATGCACGACAAAGGCCGGGCGCTGCAGGACTTTAAGCGTCGCATGTGGCTGCAGGAGCTTTTGGATGAAGTCCACACAGCGGAGATACGTGACCTCCCGGTGCAGACCACCGGTGGAGGCGGGAGCAGCAGCGGCGTCGGCCTGCCGGGGGTCAGCCTGGGCATCAACCTGAGCACCACCGGCAGCACCCTGCACTCCAAACCCCCCGGAGGGACCAAGAACCTCCCCATCAGCTTCAGGCTGGAGGAGGAGGAGGGCACCAACCTGCCACAGGAGACCAACAAGTCTCAGACGTACAAAGACGGCGTGCTGAAAGCGCCCGGCAAGAAGAAGAAGAAAGGGAGGTCCGGGAAGAGGCGGGAAGGAGAGAAGAGGAAGAGGAGGGCACGTTCGTTGGGGTGGAGGATGGAGGAAGAAGTGGGAAGTGGACTCCACCTGGAGTGGAGGTCTCTGCTCGGCTTGCGGAGGGCGCTGCTTTAAAACGCTGTCAATCTCTGACAAAGGTGAGTCCATCAGAGACGTGTTTAATAAACAGCTCTGGTGGAAAATAGTGAATCTGAAGTAGTAACCCAACCTACAGTTATGAGTTTTCATGAGTAGGATTACTGTAACTTACATAACTTCTGTATTGAGAATTAAAACCATTAATTACAGTGTGTTTGATGCTGATGCTTCTGTACTTGTAAAGACATAAAAACCAAAATAAAAGCACTGATCTGAGCTGTTTGTCTCTCTTTGTGTTTCAGAAACCTACGGACAGTTGGACTGGACTCCTAAATACTCATGTTACAGTATTCTGTAGTCGTGATTGTTTGGAAAGAAATTGGAAAATATTTATTGTCTGTAAATATTCTAAATATAGCAGAATAAATAGCAGAATATGACAAAAAAAACTTATTTGATGCTCTGTGAGGCAACAGATTTTAATCTTTGTGAATCCTTGCTTTTTCCTTTTTTATTCCAATTATGTCAGATTTTTTTTGCGGTAATTTATTTTGTCTGAATGGTGTATTTATTTTGTAAATGTATCGAGGTGCTGCTGACCTTCTATATTTTTGTACCATATTGCACTTTAGATATATAAATATAAATATATATACCATTAATTTTGTTCATTGTTCATGTGGTTGATTGAAATGAAGAAAAAATGACGGTCGTCACTCTGTGTTATTTGTCAGTTTGATTTTGGACTTCTCACTCTGTTCAGTTTTTTGTTTCTTTGCTGCTGTTTGTTCCGATGTTTTCGACTCTGATCGAAGCTGTTTGTTGTCTCACTTTTGTGTTCAACCCTCCTGCTGCCTTCAGTGTCTCTGTTTCCTCCACGGCCCGCTCTGCTTCTCAATGCCAAAGTTCATATTTGTACATAAACCAAACACGGCTCAATATTGTTGTTTTTGGCACTTGCACTGAGATAAACACCCTGTACTGAACGGATTAAACATTTGACAGTATCCTATGTCTTTGATGTCATTTTGTCCTGTTATTGATCATAAACTCACAGTAGTAGTCATTTTACATCAGAAACCTCGTCTGAAGTGGTGTAACACATGACACATTTATAAAGTCCTCATCTGCAGCTCTGCTTTGTGGTGTGCCCCAAGGCTCTATCCTGGGTCCTCTTTATTTGCAGATGATATTCATTACATCTTGTTCAAGCCCCTGCTAGATGAAAAATAAAACAAATGAAAACATTTACAATAACCGGTCATAAAAACAACAAAAAATACATACAAACAGACAGACTGACAGTGAGACAGAGTGGCAGTGAGACAGAGTGACAGTGAGACAGTGTGACAGTGAGACAGAGTGACAGTGAGACAGTCTGGTAAAGAGAAACAGACTCATGGAATCAGCCCTTTGGTTCACGTTGAGCTGGTCGTGGAGTCAGTCTGCTCTCATCAGGCTGAGTCATGGTGGTTCAGAAACAAGTTTCCACTGAACAAGAAAAAGTAAAAGTTGGACAGAAACACGTTTCCAACAGACTGAAAAAATTCACTCAGCAGGGTGACTGATGCCACTGCATCATTCTGCATCAGTCATCTGTGGAGTTAATACATTTAATAACCCGTCACACTGTAACAGAGCAACCAGTCTTATTTTTATATTATTAACTAAAATGGGCTTATTTTCACTGGTGGACGATTGCCCCCTCCTGGTGCCCCCATGTTCATAAACAGTGCCCTCTTGGATATCCATAACCATAAAATGACCTCTAGGGTTCCCTTCCAGTGGAGAAAACACCATAAAATGACCTCCAAGGTTCCCTTCCAGTGGAGAAAACGCTATAAAATGACCTCTAGGGTTCCCTTCCAGTGGAGAAAACACCATAAAATGACCTCTAGAGTTCCCTTCCAGTGAAGAAAATGTAATAAAGTTCCTGTGTGTTAAAGTATTGTCAGATTACTTTCATAATGAAGTTACGCGGAGCGACGATTAACAGCAGCGAGGCGCCAGAGGGAACCCAGAATGCTGCTGTGTAACATCAGGACACACATGAAGCGTGGAGTCGACCTATTTGGCAAATTCTGGTGGAATAAAGGTTTTTTTAAAGATGCCTTTCGGTGCACAGAGTGAAACTAGCTCCAACCCACCACCACATTTCTTCCTCTGCAGGTTTTCACCACTCCTTCAGTCTGTCCAATTAACGTCTAATCAACATCAGCTGCCCACCAGGAAATTGTCCTCATCAGCTGAAAACTCATTTCAAAGCCTGTGGAGCTTTTTTTTTTAACTTCTGGACATTCGGCAGGAAAGAAAATTACAGCTTTCCACTCAATAGAGCAAAAGTGTCAACAAATTGCCGTCGCTCATCATAAATTCCATCCAGAATTCAATTAGGGATGATCAACAGCTCTGGGCTGCAGAACCAGGCCAGAGGGATTTGGCTTCTCTATGAGCCATTAAAATAATTCCCACCGCTGCGGCTTCACAACATGACAAGTTTGGTTTGGCAGCAGGTCGGCGAGCTGAGAGGCGGTGAGCAGAAAGAGGCGAGCGGCGCTGTGGATGGTGTTGATGTTGTGATTCAGTTCAGCAGCACAGAGACAATTCTTCAATATCCAACTGAGCCGAACCAAACCAGAACCCCCTGAACCAGAATGGATAAGGTCTGGGTTAGGGTGTGTATTTATTAAAATGTATTTATATGTCGTTCTGACTCAAACTGACTCTAAAGCTTCAGCTCTGACCTGCTGCTGTAGATGAATATTGACAGTACAAAGATTATAACATTATCTTTAAATAATGTAAACATTTTCCAGCAGGAAAACGCTCAGAAAGTCTTTTCTTGTTCAGATGACAAAGAAACTTAAAACCAACAGAAAACATTTGGCTTCGTTTCGAGTCTGGCTTTAAATCAAAGCTTCAATAATCACCATACTAAACTGAAGCGACATTTAAAAGTGATCCCAGACTGCCGGAAGAACCTGGTTCCTGCAGTGTCAGAGATCATTAACACTGTCGTAGATTCACTGTTGGTCTCTGAGAGGAGTTCAGTTTATCTGGAGGGAAGAAATTAGACAATTACAGCGTCAAACCATTTTATTGTTACAACCAAATCTGAACAGCTGGAGTCCAAGGTCCAGATGTGCAGTAAAGGACTCACAGCTCTGCCGCCATAAAGCCTCGACAGGGAGGTTTCATTGTGCTGGCGCCCCCTGTGGATACCAGCAGTACTGTTTCACTGATTGTTTCAGTGCATCTGAGAATAAGCAGTCAAATGTTTTATGATTATCTGATGTTTTATATTAATATTACTGAGGACATTTAATGTGTATCTGATGTTTTATTATTAATATTACTGGATGCATTAATGTGTATCTGATGTTTTATATTAATATTACTGATGCATTGAATGTGCTATTCTGATGTGGTGTGTATGATTAATATTACTGAGGCATTAATGTGTATCTGACTGCTGTCGACAAGAGGTCCTGGCTGCAGACCTCCACTGTGAGGTCCCTACCGCCGCAGGCTCCACTCTCAGGCCACCTCCACTGTCAGGACAGGAAATGCAGGGGATACATTTCAAAATAAAATCGCGAATGCACTTCCGGTTGAATAGTTTTCCTCACAAATGCATTAATTAGTAAACAATATGACATAAAATCTATCAATTCCTTGTCTATTGTATATATTGTTTTTATTTATATAGTAAACTTTTGTTTGGTCAGTGCACACATTTTCTCTTAAGCTATTACTCATATTCATAAGCCAACATCTCATAAGATGTCATAGGCCTATACATTTTGTGTATTATACAGAGTACTTCACTGCCTTCTCATTATCATTTAATTTTGACTTTATTGCACTGCTCTTTTTCTATATATTTTTTTCAATTAGTTTTTCTGTTGTATTTTTATTCTTAACCACCATAAATTTCATGTTTGGTTCTATGTCTATGCTAATTATGTTCTTGTGCTGCTGGAACACCTAAGTACCACTAAATACTACCCTAACTCTTGATATCTACAGTATAATCCAAGTAAAATTATTAAGTGATCAATGAGAAAAACATAAAAAACAAGTCACAACATGATTAAATGTTCTGTAGCCCTTTACTCTCACACACAAACTCACTCAGTGTGACATTCACAATACGCCAAATCATTTTTTTGGTCCATTATTTTGTCACAAAATTTCCACATGTCGTCAGGGTTGTGAAATGTGAACTTGAATGGCTCCAGGATTGCTTCCCTTTCATTCTCATCCACTTCTTCTTTCCACAACCTCCCATATTGTAAAGCAGCCTCTGCCTGTTCCTCCTCCCCCATGCCCAGAACATCAGGCAAACAGTGGTTTGTTGGCCTCAACCCACTCTGCTGCATGTCTGACTGAGACCTCTGCCTGCTGCTCTTCTTCCTGAAAATATATAGATAAGCAAAATGATCAGTTGTAATATTCAAAACACAAGCTCCAAAAAGAAGAAAAAGAAAAGATCCCATCAGTGCCCTCCTCTAATATGTCTACCTAGACATATTAGAGAGCTCAACAAATGTTGATTTTCCAATCCAATCATGCATTATCTAGACACTTTATTTTTAAATTGCAGACAGCAGGTCTGACCTTATCTTGTGAATGGCATATTCTTTAAAGTGACCCCACAATTGCAGTATAAAAAATATTGGTAAAAAAAAAAGAAGAGAGAGAAATGGAAATGCTGGTTTCTGACCTGAAACAAAAGAAAAACTCAGATGGAACTCAAACAAAATTAAAATCTGACCTCAGTTATGTCATCCACCTTCCTTTTCATCAGCCTAAACACTGGTGGCACCTCACCTCGCAGGAGGGCTTTTGATGCATCTGTCCAGTGGGCAAACAGCTTTCCATGGCTCAAAAAATTATTAAACAATAGAAATAAATAAAAATTTCTTGTAACAACTTCAAGTAAAATATCAAAATCTTTGCGGTCTCACCTTCCAAGGTCAAAATTTTCCATAAGGATGATACACCACCACTGTCGCAAAAGTGGCATGTCCATCTGGAAAATGAACAAGTTGTAATTTTGAGCTTACTTTGATTGCATGAATCAACTTACAATAGGAAAGTCATAGGGAGCATCCAGTGTGGTGTAAAGGGCATTCTAGGAATAAAGCATAGTAATTTTAATGAATGCTGATATCTTTAACGCACACAGAATTACACAAATAATATATAACAAATGATGTCTACTACCATCAACATGAAGATGCCACAGTCAATCCTGTATGGTTGTTGTGGAAAACCCTAGATATCAGAAAGAAGTCAGTTATGTAATGTATTAAACTATTCAACTATTATTATATATACATGCATTATACATACTTTATACTCTTACCTGAATTTGTAATCCAGTTTTCTCTGTCCAGTTGCCAGGATTTAGTGACTGGGATGGGTTTCTAAAAGACAGTTACATTAAAGATAGTAAATCAGTAAATCTTAGTATAATAATAGTAATTAAATTATCAATATGGGCTCTTTTCATGGACATGCGTCACTGGTTCCGATTTGGGACAGACCATCCATGCATCCCTTTCCATGTAGTCACACACTACACATCATTTCAACAGGCTTTTTATGATGCCAGTTTCTTGACTCAGTTGTGTGAAATGTTAATAGGTCATCATGTTAAATCTGTAAAACTAATAAAATGTATAACCATTATTTGATACACAACTACAATTACACTTATGTTGCACCATAAAAAGGCTGTCGCACAGATCTGAACATGATCTGGTTAAAAAACAAAACTCAGAGCTCTTTAGAACAGCTTTGGAACATGAACTCCACGCACACATGCACACACAAAAAAAGTTTTCATTAGTGACCTCAGCAGTCCCCTTATCTCCTTATCACCAAATCCTAATGGTGCTTGAGCACATTTGGAGTCAAGAAAGACTATTTCTCTCTGTGTTGGTTTCAAAACCTCTAATTATAGTTAGTGACATTTGAACTCAATATC